ACCAAAAACATTAGGTCACTACAGTGAGCACACACACACATATACATATGTGTAGGCTGTTAGATATATAGATTGGTCGGGCGGTGAAATCTGGGCCATATCTAACGGTTCTTGAGAAAACGCAACATTTTGTTGGTGTTTTTTCTTTGTTTTTTGTTGTACGTGCATAAATTATATGAGAATTTGTGCGTTGTGATGGCTGAAAAAAAAAACGCATAGAAAAAAAGGGAGAGAGACGGTAAGAGATTAGCACAAACCAAATACAGTTTTTAACTTTAAGCCTGATAACACGTATGCTCCATTGTTTAGTTGAAAACAGTGCTGACGACAACTTGTCGCTGTTTGTTAAAGCTAAGATGAAAGGAAGTAAAGGACAAAAGATTATTTAAAACACAAAAACCACAGTACTCCCTGCAGCCGATTGCCTCACAACCCCGTAATTGTTCAGTCATTTTGTCTGCAGGCAGCAGCTCATAAATCAAAATGCCTCAAAGCGACATACGCACACACATATGTACAAACACAGCGAAAGGGAGTCAATATCTATAAATATTTCAAATGCTGACAGCGCAAGTTAATTATGTTACACAAGTAAATGTGTAATTAATGATTTTATGTTTTTACATTTTAAAAACATTAGGGTGATAGATAATCAAAATAAAATATATTTATATTTTTTTAATTTAATTTTTCTTATATAAAACAGAAATATTTCACAAAAGTTTTAGATCCTGGCGCCAATTACAAGCTAAGTGCTACACAACTGTGCGTCGTAGCATTTAGCTAAAGAGCGGCTGCGCACACATGGCTGAGCTGATGCCATCGATAGAAACAATCGATAAGAACTATCGTTAGGGCTGATAATTTGGTTGCGAAGAGCTCGTGCGCGTGTACGAAACTCACAAAATATATAAATAATTCGCTGTGTTGCTTGTTAGTTTTCATTAAAAGAATAATAAATATAATATCACAATATGTAAATACAGAGAGAGGAAAAAGAGAGAACTAGTATAAAACGAGTATAAAGTTTGTTTTGTATTAACTGCAAGCAAAAGCATGAAGTGCGTACCCGACACGTAAAATTAGCTGGTCAAAGTCTGTGGCAAAAGCCAAACATATCAAAATTATGTCGCCTATGTCCAATGCCAATCCGATGGCAGCAACTGAATTAAGTCCATTCGTTTATTGGTCCCAAACAAAGGATACGTTGTTGCTAAAGGTGGATCTGAAAGATGCGCAGGTGAGTCGTTGCACATTTTGCACACTTCGAAAAATCAATAATAGGCGATGGGTAACGGGCATTCAATTTATTTTTAGGGAGTCATCGCAGAGTTTACGCCTACAACGATGTCGTTTGGCGCTAATGGCCATGGAGCACGCGGCCGGAATGCGTACAAGTTTCAGATGCGTTTCTATCAGCCCGTCGATGATGAGACGGCCACATTTACGGTTACCGATCATAAGATCGAGCTGCTCATACGTAAAGCAGAGCCTGCCTGGTGGGTGCGACTGGTGGCGACGCCGCAAAAGCCGCACTGGCTGCGCGTTGACTTTGACCGTTGGCGCACCGAGGATGATGCAGAGCTAAATGAGCCGGCGCGCGACGTGCGCGAGGATTATGTGGAGGAGTATAACAACCTGCAGAAGCAAGAAATTGGTTATGTGCGGGGTAAGAAGGACTGCTCCCAACCGTTTCCTCAGCTTAACAACTTATACCCCTTTCACAGAGAATGCCAAGAAGGTTTACTTGATCATCTATAACCTGGCCATGTTTGTGGGCTATCTTCACATACTCATCATCATGGGTGTGCTCTATATGCGGGACGGACCCGGCAGCATTAAGCATACGTATGAGTATGTGGGCACATCGTTCAAATTTGTACAGCTCATGCAATATATGGAGGTAATGCATCCGCTTTTCGGCTATACCAAGGGCAGTCCGCTGGTGCCCTTCTTTCAAATCTCTGGACGCAATTTCGTTCTGTTCCTTATGATCGAAATGGAGCCGCGCATGCATGCCAAGCCGGTAGTCTTCTATGTATTTATAATATGGTCCCTCGTGGAGCTAGTGCGGTGAGTAATGCCTTTGAATTCAAAATCGAATAGCATAACAGCTATTATTCTCCTTCTAGCTATCCCTACTATGTCAGCCAGCTGCTTAAGCGGGAGAACGGCTTGCTCACCTGGCTGCGATATACCATTTGGATTCCTCTCTATCCCATGGGCATCGTGTGTGAGGGCGTTATTCTGTTGCGCAGCATACCCTATATTGAAGAAACGAAACGCTTTTGCGTTGAAATGCCCAACAAATGGAATTCAACCTTCGACATGGTACTCTTTGTAAAAGTCTATCTGCTGCTACTCGCTTTGCCTGGCAGCTATCTGGTCATGTCTCACATGTCCAAGCTGCGCGTCAAGAAACTAGGACGCGGTCGCGCCAAGCCGAAAATTAATTAAGAATTCATCTCAAATTTCTTAGCTTTAAGATTCACGAATTTTCATATTTTGTTTGTTTTATTCCCCAGCAAAATGTTAAGTTAATGTTTTTACTTGTGCTCAATTGTTTAGATAAGAATTGTGTCAAAGATTTTATCCACTTATTGGTACTCTCAGTTTATATAGATAATATGTATATCAATCGCACGGCCAAAGATAACACAATTTTAAAATAATAAAAAAGCAATAAAAAGAAAATCTAATTGACCATCAGTTAAATGAGAACCTTTTAATGTCCGGCTAGTTCAAATTAAGTTTATCGACCGCATTGAAGAATGTTTCTAAAAAAACTTAGTTAAAAATTGTATTTTATATTAAAAATTGCTGTGCTTATATACTAAAACTTTTTTTTTTAATGCGTTTCAACAATTTGTATATATTTTTGAATTGCATAAATTATGTATACAGAGTACTTATTAACCCAAATGGCTAGCACTGCCTTCCATACTAGTCTAAGATTAGAAGCCGGAACCAACTTTTGAACTGGCAGTCACTTAGACAACACCTGCCCCTAACTGACGGATTGATGGCTGCCTAACTGATTGATTGTATGAAATTGTATTTTATTTATATCCTAACTTTGTGACCATGCCGTTCCGGTCTACAATCACTTTTCTAAGCCAACTAAACGTGTTAGCAAGACATTGACTATATAATATATTTTATTTTTATTTTAAAGTAACGCTCTTTACTGTATTACGAATTTTTAATATGCTTCATAATATGTCCAATAAAATAGAAATTAAAGCTATTCGTTATGTGAATTAGGCTGGCATGATGTGTGATATATTAAAAAATGCATATACCAACAGATCACAGGCATTCAACTTTAAAATCCTGTCAAGCCTGTCTTCTTCTTGTTAATGTCCTTTGTGAATGACACCTCCTATTTGAACTCAAGCGACCCACTCGAAATGTTAAGTCGCTTTCACACTGCGAACACAAATATTTCTTATTTGTGGCTCATTACAGATGGGTGGGTGGCCGGTGGATTAGCCCTTAACAATGATGAGCAAGTATGTAATTTGGGCTGTCTTCAATAAATTACGTTTTGTTTAAGGTGTCAATCAATTTTGCGTCGTTTCGCTGCTTATTTTCGTGCTGAAGTGCCACGAATTTCGGTCACTGCCGCCGAAGATAAATGCCAGACAGTGGCGCTATTAATTGGCTGAGTGCTGTTGCCACCAACCACAACCAACCACTGGCAACAGCAGCACCAGCACTACCATTGCATGCCAACGACAGTTACCCACATAAATTCACGCATGCAAACTTATCCGCGAAAAAGAAGTTCGAACGAAGCAGTTGGCTACAGTTACCGACGGCACGACACCCTGTTCTCAGTCTTTTAGGTATTATCCCAAATTTTAAGAAAACAATAAGACAATTAAATATATTAATGATGAAAATGACATACACTTTGATATGTATAATGAATATGATGAATATACAACTTTTGCTAGCTTTAAAATGAGCACAAATAAATAAATATCCTCAAAAAAATAAGAGTTGTTTTTGATCGAATTCTATAACATTCGCCTATTTTGTATATTTGACCCCCAGCTGGTTTATAGGTTTACTGAAAGACTTTGTCCAAAACAGACATGCAGAATGAAATTGTACAAAACAAAAATGCTCTATTGCATTGCTGGAAACAGGGTATTCAGCACGGCACACGGACTGCACTGGCCCAAAAATGAATAATTTAATGCAATTTTCAGGCGCATCCAACACATCGAAACCGGAAACTAAAAACCAAAAACCGCATCCGGCCCAACAGAACCGAACCGGACCGAACTGAACTGAACTGCAACGGGGTTAACGCACAACTAATCACTTGGGTCTGCAGCCAGGACCGAGGTGCCTGGCGAGGTGTCTGACCAGGACCTTGGCCACCCAAAATGAGTTTTTGATTAACGTGCCGCAGAGCGAGTGGCGGGCGATAAGAGGAGTTGTAAGCGTGTGTGTATGTGTGAGACAATTGATTTTTCCCCCCGAAAAGTAACTGCTACATTTTCCGCAGGCAAAGACAAATGCGTGAACATTTTCCACATAACAGCTGACGGGGACTTGAAATGGAACAAGTGCAGAGCCTTATTGAAATATGGATTCACCTTGCGCTTTTGACCCGACTGCAATAGGATACGGTAATTGGCAAGTTTTGAAGGACAGGCAATCAATGCAAAGGATGAATTGCCTAGACTTTAATGTAGGGACTGTTAGAAGAAAGGGCACGAAGAGCAGCAGCTTAGTATAGGTTTTTTAATCAGTTGCGCTATAAATAATTACTACCAATGGGTAAAATAAATTACTTGAACTCTGACTAAACAATGTAGATTAACTTTCAACGTTTATTTGTAGACTTAATGGCCAATCCTGAACACATTCGGATACTAAGCCACGGAGTTCCGAGTTTAAGTCATGTTTTTTTTCTTGCGAAGTTTCAAGACCTGGCCAATTTTTAATTTATTATTTAATTTTAATTTTATTTCAGTTACAATATGTATTGTAAATCACATATCAATTATTTATTCGGTCTGATCATCATTTGAACAAACTTAAGAGGTCTAAAATGCCAAGTTCTCCACTCGATGGCATTTAAATTCTCAATATTCTGTGTAATATATTGGCCATTGAGATTACTGAAATGCACAACATTAAGAACTAAATTTAATTAAAAGCAACTTTGAATAGTTTACCAGAGATAACAACCACTATTGAACCACCAGCCAGATTGATAAAGTTCAGCACAATTCGATTTCCCGGCAACGGGTCGATCGGGCGTGGAGAATTTACAATTTTTGTGCTGCAACAATGCATCATCCGCATTTCCCGAATATTCGCCAAGACTCTCTATCTTATACGATTCATGCTCGTTGCCTATGACAAAGTAATTGTACTGTGCATATCGCGTTTCATTATGAAAATCCTCGAGATGTATAAACAATTCGTGTGACTGCGCTTTGGTCATCCGATGCAATGTCTCCAAGCCCATAAAGAATTCGCCACGCAAATCTCCAAACCCAGCGCGATAATCTTGCCAGTTACGATTAAAGTTTTCAGTGCCATCTTGACGACGTTGCACCACAGTCCAACCGGAGCCAGCCAGAGTCGAATCACAGAGCACTGGAAAAGGCTCCAAGCCAGGCACTTTTAACAAATATATATCATTCGATTTGTCTAGACAATTGCTGGATACATATTTATCTATAGGAAAATTTAGTTTTGATATAGTTTCCAGGTTTTTGACAAGCCCTTTCCCTTTATCGTCAAGTGAATTATCCTTAGAATGTAGACTTTTTTCTGTATTAATCAAATCAAGGGAATTCTTATTTTTATAGAGAACTTCGGATTGTACTCCCAGACCATTTAAGGACTTATCCAGAGAATCTGAATTCTTTTCTAGCTTATGGCATTCGATCTGAGCCTGTAGCTCCAATAGTTGTCTATTTTTTTCATTTAGCAACTCCTCTGTGATTGCGGCATTCTTTTTATGGATATTATTCAGTTCAAGTTGCATTTCCAATTGCATTTGCTTATCTCTAATTATTTGTTCCATATATTTTATGCTTATATCAAGGACATTGACCTTTTCTAGTAATTCGATATACAGTTGCTCCTTCGTTTGCACGGAAGCAGCATATTGCAGCAGATGTTTCACTATTTTATAGCAATACCCACCGCATTGTTCATCTTTAAGCTGACTGTACGAACAGAACTTTAAAATTTGATTAGATTTTTACGTAATTCAAATCTATTAAATGTTTGCGCTTACGGTCTGTTGTGCTTTGCCAAAATCTGCTGTTTGTTCACTCGATACAAGCACGCATATAAATAATATTGAATTAAATATATTTTGAAATATTTTCATATTTTTAAATAAAAATTGATTTTAGCTCTGGGTTCTGCCAAACAACTTCTAAATTAATTTAACGCAAAGCTTCAGCATTAAATTTCAATTTCCAATTCTGTTATCAAATATATTTTGCTGACAGTGTCATCAGACTTCCTCTGTTATCAGTTGAACTGTTCAGAGCTCAAATAACTTAATTCTATTAAAATATAGCAAATTCTAAAGGTTAAAGGTAGAGCACAGGTGGGCAACTCGCCAAATTATTTAATTGAAGCAAAGCTGTAAACTTGGTTAGACATCAGACAGCAATTGGCTGCAATTTAACATTGCGCAGGGTTTGTTACAAGAAACTTTGTAACTAACATAAATATATATTAATTTCAAAATAAATATATAATTCAAGTGTATGAAACTTGTGTAAAAAAACTACAAGTAAATTAGATGTGGGTCCTAATTGATGTGCTCAGATGCACACATCAAGAAAATATATGTCTCGATAGAATCGAATAATACACTTAAATAACTTTGACAAGAAGAAGCAATAGCAGTGCAATAGCTTAATGATACCCACTTCAGCTACTCTGTAGGGTATATAGCATATATAATTACAGCCTAAATTTCCCATTGAAAGATCAATTAGCCAAATAATTGCAATATTTCTACACGCAAAATTATGTGACCTTAATGGAAACAAGCTCCAATTATTTAGAATTTAAATGTTAAATTAAAAGAAACTAGTTTAAAACCAAAGACAATATAAACACTGTGTTTATATTGTCTTTGTTAAAACGTAAATAAAAAACAACTTAATGCGATTTTTGAAATTTCAAGTGAATTAAAAACAAACCAGTTAAGAGATTTCTTAAATGGTTCCAAATTGAAATTAAAGCCAAGCCCATGGCATCTTGGTTCCTTGGATTTGTTTGAGATCCACAATCAAATCAATTGCAACTGCAGCTGACATGCATTTACAATTGTCAGCAAATAAGGTTGAATGTTATCGAGTATATGTACTCAAATACGCGCATATAATACTCGTTTATTATAATTTGTGTCTAGCTAGTTGAATGTCTCAAATGACGCGCTGTCTATGCCCTTCTATGTGTAACAAATAAATAGAGAGCTCTGACAGCAGCCACCCGCACACCCACACACACGCCCTTACACACACACACACACACACACACACACACACACGTATATGGACAAACTTATAATGTTCGGCTTAAACCCCTTGTGTGTTATGCATCTAAGTTTTATGCTGCATACTTGAGGTTTGGCAGTTTATTGGCAACTGTTTTGTGGCAACGGATAAAGTGTTGCAAATAGTATACGCCCGGGCAGGCCACGTACGACCGGCCACCGTTAAGGGTTGAGTGGGTTGAAAGGGCCAAAAGCTGCAGCAGTTACAAACTGATTTTTACAGTTGCCGCTTCGAAAGCAATGATAAATGAAGAGCAGCTGCAAACAGATGTTTCTGATAACTACGCCGGACGGACGGTGGTGGATATGAAAAGTATATATATATGAAAAATGAGCTGAAATGATTAAACGCGGCAGCTGCTTGGTGTGAGTTCAGCAATCAATTTCCATTAGTTTCTCCCGAGTCCCTGGGCTTTGGCTTAAGCAAAAGAAACAAGTAAGAGGTTCTAGTCGGGAGCTCCCGACTATGGATTACCCTGAACCCTCTTCGTCCAACATCAAATGCATATATGTATATATTCTATTTTAGAAGCTATATGTCAAGTTTGGTGACTCTAGCTCTTATTATTTACAAAAATTGCCCAAAAAACAGGATATCGATATCGATGTTTATCGATTGCTTGGAAACGGAGTAAGTTATCGATTATCGGAAATAAACTCGATCTGCGCAGGCACTAGGAGCACCTACATCTAAAATTTCAAGTCTCTAGCTCTTATAGGTTCTGAGAACCTTGCGTTCATACATACGGACAGACGGACGGACGGACGGACAGACGGACATGGCTAGATCGACTCGGCTATTGGTGCTGATCAAAATATATATACTTTATGGGGTCGGAGATACTTCCTTCTGCCTGTTAGATACATTTGGATTTTGCACAAATACAATATACCCTTGTACCCATTTTTAATGGGTTCAGGGTATAAAAATGATTCAGCTTTAATAAAATACAAGCAATTTTGAAATTTGTATAAAATGGAGATAATAATCTTTTGTAGCTTGTATTAAAATAATTTAATATTCATATTGATAAATATACCCTGAACCGATTGATGGCCACAAAGTTAAAGATATTTGATATATATATATATATACTATTCAAGTAGCTACATGTGAAATTTGGTGATAGCTTACGAGATTTGCAAGTCTCTAGCTCTTACAGGTTCTGAGATCGGACGGACATGGCTAGATCGAGAGATAAATACATTTGCACAAATGCATAATATCTTTCTTACCCATTTTGAATGGGTAAGGGGTATAAAAATGCATAATAAATGCATTTTGTATTTTGGTGTTCAAATTGTAAGCTCTGAACTTAAAAGATTTGTCTACGCTCAATAGCATTTGCTTTATGACACTTTAAACGCCCCCGAAACGTTGGCCGACGGGCGGCCAATGAATCTTCCAGACCCACTTGAACTCACACGCACACACCCACTTGCAATGAAAGTTGATGCCCAAAAGGCCAAGCAATTGTAGCCAAAAGGGCTGACAGCGTAAAAGCGAGACTTCGCAAAATTACATTTTTTTCTATATTCACTAGCTGCGTGAAAATTGGCTGCCACTTGCGCTGGGCTGGCTAGAGGCCCTTTCCCTCTATTTTCCCATTCACTGTACTCGACTCTTTGAAGGCCACCAACATTACTGAAGTGGATAATTAGAGTCTGACCTTGGCGCTAGGCCCGTTTTGGAGCATGTGACTGAATAAATATTTAAGTTTGTTTATTGAACGGAAAGCAGTCAGAGACTAAAGAGATGTTGAGTTCGATGACAATATAAAGTGGCCAATTAGGAATAATAATCTTACATATAACAATATAACAGTATAACATGTTGAGAACTATAACAGCTAAGAGCTTATTGATTGTTCAAGATATGAATAAATAGTGAAATGAAGCAATTAATATAAATTGGCAATTTTTAAAATTCAATATATACTTAAAATATAACAGTATAACAGCAGTTGGTATAACAGTAAACCTATTTATAACAGTGTTTGTTACTCATGGCTTGGCTGGTTTCAATAAAATTTGTATGTTCAATTGGAAGAATCGTTATGCCTGTATAACAAGTTAAATAAATACTGCACCAGTATTACTGTAAGTATTTAAGCATTAAAGACTTCAGATTATAGATATGGTACAACATTTTCCCAATGCCAGCACAAAGCTAAACGAGAATAAAAAAAGTAATTTTTTTTACAAATTTCCAAATTTATGGCATGTAAGCCAATTTTCTGGCTTGCTGTCAGCTCTCCAAAATTAAATATAAAATATGTGCCCTAATCTTCACAACTGTTTTTTATGTGTGTAGAAAGTGACCCACACACTTTATGACTACCAAATATGATGTGTATAAGAATTTAATTAAAAATGTTAAAGCGGAACAATAAAACAATTTCAAAGGGAGACAATAGGAGCAGAAGACAAATTCAAGCAGCTTTTATGCCGTATTAGGCTGCCCAAAAATAAATGCATACATACAACAAGATTAGGAATTCGGTTCTATGTTTATTTATGTTGAAAATATTTGAAATATTTTAGAGATATTCAATTTTTCATGATTTTCCAGTTTTATATATGACGATAAAAGTGTATGCAAACAATCAACTATTTTTATTTTATACTGGTCTAGTATGTCAGAATCCAGTTTTATACTAACTTAAAACTCTTTATTTTAGAAAAATTTAATGAATTATCTCAGATAACATCATTTTATTAGATAATATTAATGACTATGCCGAATTACGATTAGTAATAGGCTTAAAGTACTTCGAGGACCTTCAAAATTGCTTAAAAAGTTTAACAAAGTTACAGCGAATGCCCACTAAAGAATATTAAGAAATATTTTCTTTAAATTTAATAAAAAAATATAAGCTATGCTATAAATAAGACTTCCCTATCGAGTATCTTAAATTATCTTAGAACGAGCTAAGATTAGATTACCATAATTTATAGCATAAAATAACTAGAACTAAAGTTATGTGTTTAATTAATCAAAGGTTGATATATTTTGGGAACATATCAGATGAGTGGACCCACGTGCTTCTTCTGCCCCTTGAGCACGCGTCGATTGTGGGGCATGGCATAGCGCAGCTTACTCCAGAACAGTGGATCGCCCCACTTGAGATAGGTGTTGAGCTTGAGATAGGCGCGCAG